TCAATCAGTAACTTGTGTTTTTTTTTAATGAAATTAATGATTTTCTTTAAAAAGATGCTACCCAATTAGGCGAGACTTTTTTTTTTATACCTTGTCTGACGAACTCGCTGACTACTGTACATTTTACTGTACTGTATAGATGTATTCCTACTAAAAAGTTTCTAATACTAATTTAACAGCATCTTTTTTAACGCATGCAATGTAACTATTTTTTAAAAGTTGCTTTGTACGTTACAGTATTGTAACAAAAACTAATTTATTTTAGTTCTCAAATATGCATATTCTTTATGTTGATTTATTAATTAAATTTTTGCTACAGGGTATTTTACAGCATTTATTTATTTATTTATTATTAATTTTTCTCTTGAATTTTATAATTGAGGGCCATTTTATATTTCTTGATTCAATTCTTGCTTATACAGTATTTAAATATTTGAAGATTAAAAAAAAAATATATCATTTCTATTACCGAATTTTTAATTGGGGCCATTTTTACCTACCTGTCATATGGGGCCATTTTTACCGGGGCCATTTTTTCTGGGGCCATTTTTTCCGGGGCCATTTTTTCTGGGGTCATTTTTTCCGGGGTCATTTTTTCCGGGGCCATTCTTACCTACATTCGTTATTTGGTCGCATTTGCGACATGATTTTTTAAGGTGCGACAAGGAATTCAACTTTGTCGCGCTCAGTGCGACAAGGTCAATTGATAGCGCGAGTAGATTTTGTAAGCGGCAGGAAGGTGGTTTCCCTCCAAATCCCAATTATTTACAACTTGTACAGCCCATTATTTTCAGTCATGAAATCATTCATTTTACATGTACTGTATTAACCAATCAGCATGACCTAGACTGGTTAAGTGTGACGTCGTACACTAAAACCGTGTCGATGTGCGCTCATCTTATTCTTGGTAAATAAGCGACCACCGTCAAAGCGAAGAAGGAGACTGGTATAAAAACATCGGATTGCACGATTTTTTACTATTTTATTGAGTGCTACTCTTACCTGTACCTCCTCGTAATTGTAAACGTTTCCTTAACGTATTTGTTCATAAAATAGACTATGTACCGAAATTTCAAACGATCGTATACAGTATTGACTCATACGATGTAAACGGCCAAGATCAAGCAATAATCAAACAAATAGGGCTCACAGCAAATTTTGAAACCTAATGAAATGAAATAATACAGAAAGCAACTCCTTTACTACCATTTATTTACTGAACGAGCCAGTCGGCTTCTGACCTACTTTTGTTCGTATCGGCGGCGTACAAAGAGTCAAATGACTTTGTGTCTGCAGTGGCAACCTCGGTGTCTGTGTCTACTAGGAGGAGTCTGGAATTGGGAACGTTTCTCACTGAATGTAGTAGACGGTAAGAAGAGTTACTTCATAGGCAACTAGTAATGGGCCTCTATCAAACAATTTATTTCGTTCTTAACAAAGTATCAGCAGAAAGTAAGCAAAATAATTGTTTAATCGTGTTTTGAAATAATATAAAAATTGAATTGTATATAAATGAATATTTAAAGATTAAATTTTAAACGTGGAATTAATAAAATGCAACAATTGAATAAATTGGTTAATTTAATCTATAAGATATATAGAAAATATATAATTCTACAAGGAATGTTTCTTGTTTTGACAGCAACAACAACCAAAAACGTAACAACATCGAACTAACTGGTAGCAGGCCTTCCAATTACGAAACTATATTTCGCGGAGTAACATCCCAAACCACGTGTGCGCCCGACTACATCAATCAGATTGCTGGGATATTACATCATTCGGGGCAACTTGCAATGTTCGGGATATGTTACTCCGCGAAACCTTTGTAAACACTAGAAGTGTGACGATATTCTCTGGCGATTAATACTGAAGTTTCGAAGTGGGAAGGCGTACCAGTTTTTTTTTTATTTTTTTTTTTAAATAATTCTCAATAAAAACAACTATTGAACAAGAAAATGAAACTATAGATCGTTATATATGTAGGTATAAGATATTTTGCTGAAGTTGTACAGGCCCAGGCCTAATGTTCTAGGCTACATTATAACCTAAATAAGAAGTGTCGCCGGCCGACTGTGTGATGCCAATTTTTAGGGCTTAAAACGAAGACTAAATGTCCTTTGACAAGTGGGGAGCTGGAATTTCAGCACTCCCGAAATGTTGGTGAAAACTTTAGAACTCTGGGTTGAAATTATTATGTGTAAATTGATTTAGAGTTATCTCATAAAGAAAATATTCCATCCACGCATATTAAAATAAAGTCGGCCGGTGGCTATTGTAACCAATGTATAGGCATTCGCAGTGTTAATGCGATTCTGCAGACTTATTTTCTCGAAATTTTCCGCACAAATGAAGAAAAATACTGAAAAATTTAAAGAAAGTGTACAGAAAATACAATTAATGTTTCAGTAATAATTAATAATTTGATAATGAATAATCAATCCACTTATGTAACTGCAGATTTTGGCAGTCCATTGACTAGACAGTTTAGCTAGCACATTATTACTGCTCATGTTTTTCTTTTTTATATTGTGTATATCTGTTAATAATTAACTGAAATTTGTAATTTTCTTAGAAATATTCCTAACAATTGAAAATTTCCATGAAACACTTTCCCTTTCCTTCTAGTTAGGTTGAATTTTTTACCTTGCACCTTTTTTCTTTACTGTCCCTTTAATATCTATTTTATTTTTAATATTGTTTCATCCTTTTTCTTATTTCATTTTTGATACTTACCTTTCTTTTAGTTTTTTCATTGTCATTTTCTTTCCACCATTTTACTAACTTTCTTTTTTTTTCTTTCCTTCCTTTTGTTATTTCTTATTTATTATTTTTCTTGTTTTTTTTTTTGTTTTTTGTTTTCAATTTTTAAAAATCTCTTCTCTTTTTCTTTCATATCTTCTTTCTTGCATAATAATCCATGGGGACAGTGTAGGTGTGGGGGTTTGTTAGGAAATATAAATAATAAAATATTGCGCAGCGCTTAATATCTTAGGGATGCGAAAAGGATGGGGAAATATGTGCTACTAAAAAAATTACTTGTGCTACCAATTTTTTTGGGGGGGTGCCAGAAAATTTTGGCAGTGCTACCAAGAAAAAAAGTTAATTTCAAGCCCTGATTTAAATATCTATTTTAATAATACTAATTAGCGATAATAACATTGAAGGTGATAATAGCAATAATAACAGCAATAATAGATTAAGATCACGTTTATTTTTATAATAATAGTAATACTAATTAGTAATAATAATAATAATTATGATACTTATAATACTAGGCCTACTTAGTAATAATAGGGTAATAATATTGATAATAAAGGTGACAACAACAACAATAATAATAATAATAATAATATGAGAAAAATACCAATAAAACACCAATAACAATATTTTTAAAATTGCTATTATTAAAATAATAATACTAAGACTAATATATAATAATAATATGAATAAAAAAAATTGAGAATTTTGTATTATTTATATGGTAACAATAATAATATCAGCAAAAATTTAAATAATACATAATGTTAATGCTAAGACTAATACAACTTGTGGCCGAGTTGACTGCAGCCGAACTTTTTGTGGCCGAGTTGATTTGTGGCCGAGTTGACTTGTGGCCGAGTTGAC